TTGATTTCTAGATTTTCATCGAGATGCTGAGTCTTCCCAGACTTCAGTGTTTGATGACATCATTAGACAAGAGTCATGTGTCCAACAGTGAAATTTAAAAAAATACGACAGCTTCCTCAATTGGTTTATTTTATACCATTTAACTCTTCAGTCAAACTTGTAGAAAAAGATCTTTACACTTTCCTTTCTTCTTCAACTTAGGCCAAATAATTCTTTTTACCTTGAAATTGTGTTCCTGCTTCCTGTTAGTTTACATAATTTGATATCTGTCTTCTGTATCAGACTTCTGTAACTGCTCACCCATTTCACGATTATTTGGATTTCAAGCATCTTGAAATATTTTCAGATTTTCATAAATATTGAGCTTAGTAGATTATAGAAAGTCATACTGTACTCCTTTTTTCTCAGGAAAGTATAGTTCTTGGTCAGTGTTGGAAAGTATTGTCCTTTATGATGTTATCGTTGTATAATTCTATTCACTTTATTCTACATCACTTTATACTCTTTAGGAGTCTTTGAAATCATCTCTTTAGTCATTATGGTACAGTAATATTCTTTTTATATTCAGATCATAATTTGTTCAGCCATTCTCCAAATGATGGGCATTCCTTAGCTTCTTTTTGCTTCCCTTTCCCCTCTTTTAATTCCTTTCATTTGGGGGTCAGAAAGGTTTTGTTTCTTACATGTCACTGTTCCCTTATTTCCCTTTTGAGTCTAATGTATTTCTGCAGCAGACTGTATATATATGTGAAAGACTTAAGAACTCTGATCAATGAAATGACCAATCCTGACTCCGGGGGATTTTTTTATGAAGCATATTAATATGACAGAAGGTGTTGATAGATTCAGAGTGTAGAAAGAGATAAACATTTTCAAACATGGTACTGTATGGATTTGTTTTGCTTAATTATGCTTATTTGTATAAGGATTCTTTTTTCTCCTCTTTTTTAATTGAAGGGGGGAGGGTTGGAAGAAGATCATGGGCTAGCAACAGTGATGCAAAAAAAACAGTTCTAGCATTTTAAAAATATACAAGAGAAAACAGAAGGAAATTTAGAAAGAAGCCTCAACAAGCAGGACAGTTTTGATAGTAATATGTGGAATTTATTTTATACTTAAAAAGAAGTGGCATAAAATGAAGATTAATGGTTTTATATATAATCTCTTATGTTCCCCTTTTTATTTTTAATTTTAAAAATTAATTTTTTAAAAAGAATGCATCTTTTCTTCCTTCTAAGTGTCAAATCAAGTTTCACACCAATTACTGGAGGAGTTACAGGCTGCCATTTGCCTTTATTGTTAATGTTCACAGAGTGCTTACCTTTTGAGAAATTGCATTGGGGTCTCATAAACTCAGAGGGGAATGATTAAGTGACTTGCCCAGGGTCACAGAGCTAATTAATATCTGAAGTTAGATTTAAACTCAGGTCTTCCAGTGTTCCAACTAGGGTACCACCTAGCTACCTTTCAAAGGTGCTGTACAGGACAAGAGACGTGGATTTTTAAATTTAAGTGTAGCTACTTAAGTGTAGCTACTTAAAAGTGGAAGGAAGCACATAAAGCTGAGGGCCATTTTTGTATTCTTTTGTTTTGTGGGTAATTGTGGCCATAGAATTCACCACCTAGTGGCTACCCTGTTTGATATAATCTTCTCTATGCTTGGTTGGCTGGTTTTCATGCAGGACTGTGCTTGAAGCTTTTCTGTTTTGATAGAAACTGCCATAGTATGTGTTCTGCTGGCATAAGTTCCAAGATGTAGCAACAGAGGAGGATTTTTGTGAAGACTATACATTTGTTATTGTTCTTCAGTCATGTCCAACTCTTCATGACTCCATTTTGGGGTTTTCTTGGCAAAGATACTGGAGTGGTTTGCTATTTCCTTTCTTGAGATGAGGAACTGAGGCAAACTGAGGGTTAAGTGACTTGCCCAGGGTCACACAACTAGTAAGTGCCTGAAGCCAGATTTGAACGCACAAAGATTAGTCATTCTGACTTCAGGTTCAGCACTTTATCCATTGTGCCACCTAGCTGCCTGAATGTACATATAGTGGTACAAAATAAATACTAATACTTTCATTTTGGTGTAATGTAGTGGATGAAGCACTTATTCTGGAGCCAGAGGACTTAGATTTCGAATCCCTCTTTATTAGCCCTATCAGCCCTTAGCACAATGTCTGGCACATAGTAGACACTTAACAAACACTAGTTGATTGACTGACTAAAAGACTAATGTAAGGCAAGTCCCTTAACTTCTCTGGGCCTCAGATTTTCTATCAGTAAAATGAGGTTGTTGGACTAGGTGAACTTTGGATTATGTGAGTTCAAATCTGGCTTCAGACACTTACTAGTTGTGTGACCCTGGGCAAGTCACTTAACCCTGTTTGCCTCAGTTCCTCATCTCTAGAAAGGAAATGGCAAACCACTCCAGTATCTTTGCCAAGAAAACCCCAAAATGGAGTCATGAAGAGTCAGACACAACTGAAAAATGACTGAAGAACAGTAACAAATGTGTAGTCTCCACAAAAGTCCTCTGTTCTAGCCCTGAATCTATGAGTTACTTTGATCATTGTCTAATACAGGACTATCCTGGAAATGTTGGGAAGTATGGAAAATTTCCCAGCTGGAAACTTCCACTTACCTTTCCTTATGCATTTTAGCTAAAGCCCAGCCATGCCCGATGGTCACCCACCAACAGCTGGCTTCTTGGTATTCTGCCCCTGATAACTTTCTGCCACTATCATCCATTTGGATTTTCTCCAAATAAAGCACCCCTGAACTCCGGTGCCCCTCCAGTAGTGTCTTCAGTATAGCCTGTACTCAGTTGATTAGAGAGTAAATACCGCTTTCTAATCTCTCCTCTCTGGAGCCTTGGTTTTAGCCTGAGTCCTTTTAACTCTCACAGTTCATGGTTTCCATTATTGTTGTGATCATAAATGGTGTGAAATGATTCTCTGATACAAATTATAAGTAGGAGAATCACAGGTACATGATTTCATTGCAATCCAGCATGACACATTGTAAAGAGATCATTTTATATTAGGGCTGGAAAGAACCTTAGAAGTCATTTACTCTAATACCCTCATTTTACTGAGGAGGAAACTGAGAGAAGTGACTTTTTTTTTATGTGGGATATTGCTATTGTCTTCTCTAAATTTTACCCTTTTTTTTTACTTTATTGGGCAGAGGTATACTCATATATGGGGTTGCTAGGTGGCAAAGTAGATAGAGCACTGGGCTTGGAATCAGGAAGACTCTTCTTTCTGAGTTCAGATCTGTCCTCAGTCACTAGCTGTGTGACCCTTGGCAAGTCACTTAACCCCATTTGCTACAGTTTGCTCATCTATAAAATGAGCTGCAGAAGGAAGTGACAAACCACAACACTATCTTTGCCAAGAAACCCCAAATGGGGTTAAGAAGAGTCAGACGCAACTAAACACTAACAACAACAAAAATATTCAGATGCAAATACTTTGTGATTTTGGAGTTAAATGGGATGAATTTTCTACTTTAAAGTATAAAAAAATGTATGCTGAAGTGTTCACTTAAATGGGTTGAGTTTAACACTTCGAAGTTTAGTGGGTTGGAGGCCCGCCAAGGGAGATGGTAGCCTGTTTAAAGGCCAATTCTTCTTTGTTCTTCATTCTTCTAATTTTTTCCTAGAAAGGAAGACTGGAAATGGAGTGGGATAGACTCCGGGCTCTAGGGTCATTATGAAAGGAAATACATTTTAGAATTTACCGTGCATATGTACATAAGAAATAAATTTAAGAGATTAATTGGATTCCATTGGAATTCAGTTCATAATATTCCCTATGCCCCTTTGACAGGCTTCTCATCATATCTCTGCCCTTTGGGAACCCTTGCCTCTAAGGAAGGAGAAGGGAGTTCTGTATTTGTCTAACTCTTCTGATTTTATTTTTCCCTTCATTAACCTTTTGGTCTCTTGAATTTTTTTCCTTCAGGCTTATATAAGGAGAATAAACATATTAAATGTCTTTTGCTCTGGCTACCTAGATTTCTGCCTTGCAGAAATATTCATCTCTACCCTTTTGGTAATGGAATGTAGCTATGAAATGATGCAAGCATTTTCCACTCAAAATGCATTTAATATGAAGTTCACAGTTTCTGTTGTCATCCAATACAATTTTTCTAAAGTTATCATGCTAAGCGACAGCATATAAGTTGTTGCATTCCTAAGAGCTAGAGACAATGCCTTGGATATTTTTTTGTAATGGACTTGCCACTTCATTAATAGGGAACTTGTGGTGAAGAAACTCTCTCTACCAGTGTTTATGGGCAACTTTTAACGACTGTAACGACTGTTCTTCAGGAGTTTCCTGGGCACTGCTATGTGACATAGACCCAGTGACTTAGAAGATTTGAACCCAAATCTTCCTAACTATATGGTCACCTCTGTCCACCATGCCATGGCTGTCTCTTGCCTTTGTCTGTTATAGACAATAACTTTTTGATGGTTTATTGATAAAAAATAAAAAAACATAAGTAAAATGAGAGAGTTGAACGTTCTTTGAGGTCACTGCTTGCTTGAAATGTATATTCCTTTCCTTTAAGAAGAAAAACCAGTAGGCTTGAATATTTGAAAGGATTTAAGTATTCCTGTACACCTCTTTCACAAGCAACCATGTAAACTAAAGAAGATTTTCCTAAATTGTGTCTAAACCCTGGTTAGAAATATTATTTTAATGTTTTAAGAAAATCATTCCAGTGATTTGGACTGATCAGTCGTTACACTTATTAATGATATTTTTCCTTTAAAAATAAGGAAAAGAGGGAGCAGCTAGGTTGTGCAGTGGATAGAGTACTGGCCCAGAAGTCAGGAGGACCTGAGTTCAAATCTGGCCTCAGACCAAACACTTGACACGTACTAGCTGTGTGACCTTGGGCAAGTCACTTAACCCCGATTGCCTCACTAAAAAACAAAAAAAAATGAGGAAAAGAATACAAAGATGCTAACTTGCCATTCTTTTTTTTCTATATAGACAAAGAAGAAAAACAGAAAGAAGAAAAAAAAGAAAGATCAACATCTTCTTTTAGAGGAGCTGGATTCTTTGTCCCTGTCTCATACAACCCTATCTAGCCTTAGTTCTCTTCCAAGCCTTGGATCAGTGGATAATAAAACTACCCCACAAGAAAGCCAAATTCAGGAGGATGGTTTAACTAAGCCCCTGGTTGATTGCAGTGATGTTCAAACTGAAAGTAACCAAGTCTCATTTCCTTTAGTTGTTGAGAGCCCTAACAACAATTGTTTTGGTATAGAGTCAGAGGAGGGTGGAACCAAAGAAAAGGTAATTCCAGATTTAGGTGCTCCAGTGGAAAAGATGGAAGTTGATGTACATCCTGAGAGTAGTCAATCAGCCAGAAGACTGGAAGGAGACAATGAGAAGGAAAATCATAGCCCTGTTGATTTGGTCAAGACTCTGGGACCCACTTCCAGAGAAAGGAAGGATATAGAAGTACTCAAGGTAAAAGATGCCACTTGTGGGTCACTCCCTGAACTGACTTCATGTAAAATTGAGGAAACTGATCCTTTACATACAGATCCTAGTCAGAAGGTCCCTCTACCAGAATCAAAAGTGGACATTCCTAATCAAAGAAAAAGAAAAGAAACATCTAAGCCGCAGACGAATGCCTCACCTCCCAGAGTAAGTTGTCTTATTAAGTGATGACCTGTGGTAGAATTGCAAACCCTTCCTGCTTCTGATAGGCAGTAGGATTTTACTGTTACTAAACTCATTGACTCAGACTATCTCTGTTCCATTTTGCTACCCTAGCTCTGATGTTTGGGGCTTTATTTTTTCTAGGAAGCTAAAATGAAGTCAACTAATCAAGTAAGAGGATCAGGAAAAGAAGTTAAAAACAATCAAGAATTGAAGAAGCAGCGAGCAAATGAATCAGCTACCAGAGTAAGTTTTCCAGTAAAGCTTCTGGTAACTATCAGGTTCTGGTGTTTTTTTAGGGAACTTTCCTTAATTAATTTCCCATCTCTATTCTTCATATCCCTTTATTTTCATTTCTTGATATGTTGTTTTGTAGTTGTGCTGAAGCAGTTTTATGTTAATTCTTTCTTTTAGTACGCGTTATTATGTAAAATAAGTATTTGATCGAAACCCTTTTCACATCATTGGCACTTCCCCAGACCAAGGAGACTTGTTTTGTTACAAAGAAATCCACTTAAGTAAAACCAGTCAACCATAGGCGGTATCTTAGAATATGTATACCACATTCCTCATAAATAGTTTATCATCTTATTCCTAAGATGAGGAATGCATGCTTAGACATCAGTCTTCTGAAGTTATAGTTGGCCGTTATTTAGGTAATAGGTCTGTCTTTCATTGTTGTTTACCTTTATTGGGGTTATCCTATAAATTGTATTCCTGTTAGTAAACATTTATAAAATGCCTGCTACCTAACAATATGCTACACTGAGGGTGATTTGTTTATCAGTTCAGTTTTCCCAAATCATTTCTGAGCTACTCTACCAGAGTGGTAACGTGTTGATTCTTTTGTGTCTAGCCAGACTTGTAATGGGTTGTGTATATTGTAGGCAGTCAAGTTAAGTCAACTAGCATTAATTAAGTGCCTCCTCATTAACTAATTAATTACACTGTGCTAAGTGCTGGAGATACAAAGAAAGATGAAACTAAGTCCCTGGCTCACAGTCTAATGTGGAGATAACATGTAAATGACTATGTACAAACAAGATGTATCCTGGGAAAGGCTTCTTGCAGAAGGTGAGAGTTTAGCTGAGGCTTGAAGAAAGCCAAGCCTAGATTTGGAGAGGAGAAAGAGTTCCAGGCATGGGGGACAGTGAAAATGTGCAGAAATAAAAGAAAGAATACTCAGATGATTGTTGATTTACTGCTTTAGACAATCCATACAATTATTCATTTGTAGTGAAATATGTTGGAAAATTTTGCATAGCTACTTAAGTTCAACAAATTTTTGCCTTTTTATTTGTCATGAAGCGAATTTTCAAGACATAATCTGGATGCCCAGATTTTTCTTGTCTTCACTGCAATTTTCCTAAACCTTTCTATTTGGTATTTTTTCCCTAAAGACCTTAGAATTCATTCAACTTCTTTTGAACTTTAGTTCCATTTCATGTCTCTAGAATAAAATCATAAGCCATTTTGGAAGTAATTTGAAAATAACAGCATTTCTAAACCAAAAATACAAACAATACAAGTGAAAAATAAAAAGCAGAAGTTCCAGAATATCAGTAGAAGTGTAGATTGAAATATCAAAAAGCAAAACGTTAGGAAGTATATTACTGTTGAGTTACATCAGTGAATTGTTTCCTAGGCTGGAGTTACGTGTGAGGAGGGAATCTATGACTACTATAACAACAAAGACAAACAGGATTTCCCTAGTCAAAAATGAGTGATTTTTGTCTTGGCACATAGGACTGTGGATTTGTTTTTAAAGAAAATGAAGGTTTTGGCAGTTCCTGTGGAATGGACTACAGAGTCCCTCCAAAAAACATGGGTCTTTTATCAAGTTAAACTCTACTACTCTTACCACTAAAGCAGATTTCTTCTGTTATCTCATACTAAATATTACATTTTGAGATTTGCTTGTGTATTCTAGGAAGTTGAAACTCAGGAGAAACTTACCAATCAAATGAAGACAATAGAGGAAAAAGATAAAAATAAGCCTAAGGATATGAAAAAGCAGGAAGGGCCTCCTGGAAGTTGTGTTGATTCTGCTTCAAGAAGTCTGGGACCTTCAAAGGAGCAAAGAAGCCTGACTGCCAATGGAAAGGAATTAAAGACCAGGTAAAAGCAAAAGCAAAGTTTGACCATTAACAAAATCCAGTACATAGATAGGTTCCCCAGAAGAATCTTCCCAAAGTACACGTGGCATTGTTGCCAGTTTTGATACTCTCATTGCCTATTTCCATCTTTGATACAAAAAAAAAAAAAAAGTTGATGAGTTAGAAGGAACGCCAAAGACCAACTTGTGCCTTTTCTTGGAAACCTTTACTGAGAGAAAATAGCACTCTTGTATCCTGAGGCAATCATATTATCCATTGCTAGTTTTGTCCTCCATGGTTAAGTGGGACTAGCCTTAATCCTTTTCTAATTGGGATCCTTTCATTTACTTGAAGGCAGCTGTCATGTCCCCCATAAGTCTTTTCTTCTTCTACCTAACATCCTTAATTCTTTTAACTTAATTTTCAAATGATATGGCGTGATCTCAAATCATGGTTAACCTTCTCTAGATAGACAATGTAAATCCAGAATGTGGCACTCAGAACTGAATGTAGCAATGCAGATGTGGTCTAGGTGATTAGAAACCACTTGGGCATTATTTATACCTTCTTTTTTGACATAATTGCTTTATTTTATGACTCTTGGTCCCAAGCAGCAAATACCACATAGCAAATCTACTGTAGTATAACTCTAGCTTTTTCTTACTTTCTGCCCAGACTGTCTTTCTTTGTTGCCACGGTGGACAGATCCTTCAGATTCCTCCACTTAAAGTGGAGAAAAGTAGAATTTTGTTTGCTTAAAGATTGATCTAGTCATAAATATGTGATCAAGAAGTACCTTTGTTAGTAGTGTATGTGTGTTAAAACACATTTTAAAAGAATGAGTAAATTTTAAAAAATTGTTGTATATATGTTCTTGTGTACATATTCTAGGACATTAAATCTTGGTGAAGGAATCAGAGTATACTTCCATGCAATTCTGTCTCGGGATTTTTCATTTAATCCTGATTGTGATAAAGTGTATATAAGAGGAGGAGAAGGTTTGGGTAAAAAAGCTTGGAGTAGTTATGTCTGTGAGATGAACTGCACAAAGTAAGTACATTTTAAAACTTTTTGTAAGAAACATTTTGAAGATGTGGCTAAATAGGGAATCTTAAGAGGGAAATCATAATGTACAAAACTAGAAAAATAGAGAAACTACACTATGTCAGCTATATTATTCATTATTGTTTTAGACCAACCATGCACAACTTGCTGCCCGTAAAAAGATTTTGGGCCACCTGCAAAAAATGTAGAGGATGTAAATACAGACCTGCTTTGGTCGGCTACAAGTGGCCTCGTAGGCCATATGTTGTGCAGGCCTATGTTAGACCATTTAAAATACCTAGACAGTATAAAATACCTGAGTGTATACCTGCCAAAAAAAGACACAGGAATAATATAAACATAAACATAAAATACTTTTTATGCAAATAAACTCAAACCTAAATAATTGAAGTAATATTTATTGTTCATGCATAGATAAAGCCAATACAGTTTAAAAAATGATAGTTTTACTTAAATAATCTATTTATTCAATGTTATCCCAATTAAATTATTAAAAACATTTTTACTAAGTTGAAAAAAATAATGACAAAATTCATTTGGAAGAACAAAAGATCAGGAACTTCAAAGAAACCAGGGAAAAAGGATGTAAAGGAAGTAAATTCAGCAGTATCAGACCTTATATTATAAGGTGAGAGCGTTGTTGAAGTATAAAAAGGATAGAATAATTTTGATTATTTTATAAAACCTATGTAGTCAAGAATAGAAGGAATGCAGAAAATTGGGGGAAAAAACTTTCATAGACAATCTCTCAAATAGGATTGGTTTGGAATGTGATGAGCTGGTTGATTTAGAAAAACATGGAAAGACTTGGACTGATGAAGAAATATTCTATCCACCTTCAGAGAAACAGATGATAGGAGGAAATAAGCATAGTAAAGTCTTACATATATGCTTATGAGTATATATATGTATATTTATAGATATTTATGTATGTATATATCCATGCTTAATTGCAGCCTTCTTTAGGGTGGTGAGGGGAGGGAAGAGAAAAAATAAAGTAAAAAGTGCACAGCAGAGAACAAAAGAAAACCAACAAGGAAGTAAAGAAAAACTGGGTAGCTTTGAAAACAATGTGTAGTATTTATTATAAAGGTTTTCTTGAATTGGAAATTTATTATTTTATATTGAATCCTCTCTTATGTTCAGCTGTGTACATGGCAATTTTTTTTCCTTTCTCATTTTATATTTAAGTTTAAAATGAAAAAAATTGCAAAAATATGTAAAAAAATTGTTTTAGCATGTAATTGGGGAAAAAACAAAATATATTTTTAAAAAAGAATTCTGGGTGGGGAGGGAAATCTTTAACTTTTTATCATAATAACAAATATCAACAAAAATGTAATATCACTTTATAAAGCTTGGGGATTTTGGCAGCAATATCGAAATCACAGTATTTAAGCATTCCCTATTTCTTTTGATTTTTTTTAACCTTTCTTTTTAAAAAAAAAAATTATTCTTAATTCATGGAACAAAACAAGCACTTCCACAACATAAAAGATGATTGCACACAAAACCACAAATCCGCTATGTACGACTTGCTATTCTTTTAAAATATATACTAAAGTTATCATGAACAGTTCTTTTGTTTTTCTCCGTTCTACCCCCACCCCTGCCCTAGAGATGGCTACCATACAGATAAGTATATATATGTAAAATATTTTGTATGCACCTTTGTTTATTAGTTCTTCCTCTGGATGCAGATAGCATCTTTGTCCATATGTCCTTTATAGTTTTTGTTAATTTGGGTATATATAATAGTCAAAATGACTTATTTGTGCAAAGTCATTCTTAAAATAATATTGCTGTTACTGTATACAGTGTTGTCTTGGTTCTCATTTTGCTCTTCATTATTTCATGGAAGTCTTTCCAAGTTTTTCTAAGGTTGAGCTCATCATTCTTATAGCATAGTAGTATTCCATCACAATCTTATATCACAGCTTGTTCAGCCATTCCCCATTTGATGGGCATCCCTGCATTTTCCAGTTCTTTGCCACCATAAAGAGAGCTGCTATAAACATTTTAGAACATAAAGGTTTTTCCCTTTTTCCCTAATCATCTTTGGAAATAGACCCAGTAGTGATATTGCTGGGTCAAATGTATGGGCAGTTTAATAACTCTTTGGGCATAATTCCAGATTGCTCTGCAAAATAGTTGGATCAATTCACAATTCCACCAACAATGAATTAGTGTCCCAATTTTTCCACATCCCTTCCAACCTTTGTTGCTGTCCCCTTCGATCCTTTTAGCCAGTCTGGTAGGTATAAAATGTTTTCTCAAGATTGTTTTAATTTAAATTTCTCTAATATTATATATTATACAATTATAATATTATAAAGTATACAAATTTAAAAATGCAAAATTGTACAAAGTAATATCAAGGTGCGGAAAAAAACACTAAGGACTTGGGGGGAGATAGAGAAAGCCTTGTGTAGATAGTGACATGTACTTTGATTTGAGGAGAGCAGGGCCTTTAACAGTAGCTTTTTATGTTTTTTTAAAAAATATTTATTTTTAGGGGCAGCTAGGTGGGGCAGTAGATAGAGCACTGGCCCTGGAATCAGGAGGACCTGAGTTCAAATCCGGCCTTAGACACATAACACTTACTAGGTGTGTGATCCTGGGCGAGTCACTTAACCCCATTGCCTAGCCAAAAAAAAAAATTATTTTTAGTTTTCAACATTCACTTTCATAAGATTTTGAATTTTAAATTTTCTCTTCCTCCTTCCCTTCTCTCCTCCCTAAGATGACGTGCAATCTGATAGAGGCTACCACATTAGTCATGTAGTAAAGAAGATTTAGAACCAAAGTGAAAAAAACCATGAGAACCCCCCCCCAAAAAAGGAAAAATAATATGCTTCAATCTGCATTCAGATTCAATTGTTCTTTCTCTTCATGTGGATAGCATTTTCCAGGATGAGTCTTTTGGAATTGTCTTAGATCATTGCATTGATGAAAAGAGCTAAGACTATCAAAGTTGGTCATTGCACAGTGTTAGCAGTTTTTTATGTTGTGCTTGTAGAGAACTGGGTGAACATGGATTCCTTATCGAAGGTGAAATGATGGTTTCCAAGGACCAAGTGTTCACATCTATCCCTTACAAATATTATATTATTCATGGTTCAAATGCGGAGTATGAATTCATATACAAAAAACCTTCTAAGCCTGGACAGCATGTCAACCGCTGTTTGTTCATAAAGGAACCATTTTTGAGGTCTGGAGGTAAGCTACCAACTGATCTTTTTGATCATCCCCATGAGTTAACAGTTCATTAGTCACTTGGCTACCTTTATATTTTCAACAAAGTCTAAAGAATTGATTTTTAGATTATCTTTGTTTTTGTGAACATGGTGTAATGGACAATGTCAGGAGTAATTTGATTTGGAGTCAGGAGTAATGTGCTTTTGCATCTAGCCTCTAACACTTAACCTGTTTATGAACAAGTTACTTAACCTCAATTTCCTCATCTGTGTAATGGGAGTAATAGTATCTATACTACCTATTTCACAGCATTGCCTTCCCTAATATCCTTAATGTTCTGCCTTTTCTCTGAGATTAATTCAAGGTCATCATGTATATATCTTATTTGAACATGTTGTTTGCGTGTTACCTGCAACATTAGACTTGATATAAGGCACTATCTTTTGCCATTCTTTATGTTAGTAGCATTTAGCATATATATTTGTTTGACAAATACGGTAGACACTTAATAATTGTTGACTTGATATGAGTTGCTCATTGGTCTAGAAATTCAAATTCCATTCTCAGGTACCACCTTTTTAACCAGCTTTTCACTTCCCCAATTAATTTTTCTCTTGCCTTTTAATGGGCAACGATGAGGAAAACAGTCTGTGCCACTTTGGTCTTCAGTTTCTTGCCCAAGATTTCATAATCATTGGCTAAACTTTTTAGGTTCCTTAGGCAGCTCTGCTTATTAGGGCAGTCCTAAGTAAAAGGGACCATGAGTTTCATTGGGAAAGATTTTGATCATGTGCGGCATGGAGAGGTTTTTGGGTTATTAAAATTGATACCCATCCTCACCCTTGTCCCAGATCTCTGGTGTATTTCTTTTTTATCTGTTGCATGTCAGCCCTTGTAATATGCCTTTATAAACCTTCCTTCCTACTTGCTCCTTCCCCCCATGTATTGTCTGCCTGCTGATAGTTTTTGAGGTATATATCCTGTCTGAAGTGACTTCTAGCTGTTGTGATGTTTAAAAAGTTTGGGAGACATAGTTTCTGGGCAATTAATCATTTTATTAATAATGCTAACATATTAATAAAAGGGTCAGTGACACTCTTGAATGCCAAAGAACCCTCATGGAACCGTCTCAATGCTTATATGTCCTTGGAATGGAATATATAAATAGTAACAGACAGGTGACAAGGCTAAATACTCCATTACTTAGTTGTTTGGAATATGGAAAGGACTAAAATTCTAGGGTAATTAGCTCAAATCTTTATTTTGAAATTTATTTATTTTTAGTTTTTCACCATTCGCTTCTGTAAGATTTTGAGTTTTAAAATTCCTCCCCCCCGCCACTCCTCTCCCCAAGATGCCATGTAATCTGAAATAGGCTCTACATATAAATTCATATTAAACATATTTTCACAGTAGTCATGGTGAATTAGCTCAAATCTTATACTTGCATCTCACTATAGTAACTCAGATGTGCTCCAGTAATAACCTAAAAGATCTACTTCGTTGTGTTTATACTGAGCACCTAATATGATTATAGAAATTTGCCGTGAAAGAATCAGGGACATAGCTATATAGTAAGGAAATAATGCTTCCATAACTTCATGTCAATTCCAGGCAAAAGTTATATAGATAGCCAGTTGCCTTGAGCCGGGCTTAATAGGCAACCAGGTGGGATATGATATCTTCCATTCAAGAGGAAAGTCATGCTAGGGCAATTGTGTTAGGATAATCCTACCTCAGCCCATGCCAAGAGTTGCTCTCTCAACTTCTCCCAACCTTTTTCAACTTCACCTGCAGTCCAAGGACATCTACCCCATAGGGTTGCTGGCACCATGGATCATTGGCTTAATGGTATTCCTTGACGATCATACCTGGAGTCAGACTCAGAACAGTATTAGTTATAGTCCCATAAGGTCTCAAATAGCAAGTTTAAGTAATCATAGCTTTGGATAGATTCAGCCCTCAAGAGTCACATGTCCTTGAAAGCAAATGTTGATTATAATCTCACATTGGTAACAGTAAGAGATTCATTGTGAAAAATCACAACTTATCTTGGTATAACTAGTACTCATAGTAAGTAGATTCTTTTTCGTCCCTAGGCTCAACATTACACAAATGATTTCACTTAATAACAAACAACAAAAGACTTGGGATGGGATGCATAAATATAATAATCACAGATTGTTTACAGAGAATAGCTTATATGAAAATTTGTCTATAGTAGAACATGTTCAGTTATTAACCAAGATCAATTGGACATAAGTATACACTACTGGTCTCAGAATCCCTTTAAACAATGGGAGCATCTTTAAGGTAGTTTAAGTCAGAGGTCTCCAAAGTTATTTAGCCTACCACTCACTTTAAAAAAAAAATTACTCAGCGCCCTCCTGGAAATCTACTTTCTTTAACCCTTTAATGTTTTTTTTCCTTTTTTGAAATTTGCATCATTTCAAAAAAAATGTAATTGTTTTTTTAAAAGAGATGCATCTTAAATTGAATAATTTATTGTAAATTTGTGTTTTTTTTCCTGCAGTGAAATTTTAATGATGCAATATTGCATCATGTAATTGAATGGTATTGAATTATAAGCAAGTCATTATGTGTACATATTCCTTTGAATGCATGCTGGACTTCCCAACTGTGTGCAACACACTTGCCTGCCAACTCTTATTTGTTAAGACCTGTTGTTGGACTTGACCACTGATCAGTTATAACTTGCATTTTGTGTGTTTATTTGGAAAATAATGTAGTAACTACAACTTTAACTCTGTTACATGACAGATGAAACGTGTACAAATGGTTTTTCAAAATTTTCTTCTCTTCTTTCCTTATGTTTCTACTGCCCCCTTATTTTTATTCAGTGCCCCACAATTGCACTTGAGGCTGCTACTACCCCCCTGGATCATTCCAGCGTGTCCTTGGGGGTGGTATCGCCCACTTTGGGATCCTGTAGTTTGAGTAGTAACTACTTTTAAGTAGTTCCTATGCATTTCAGGGCATGCTTTACACACAGGTTCTGATCCCAGATTAAATAACAAACATAAATAAAATCAGATTTCCTGTTAAGGTAACACAAGGTAGCTCATAAGTTACTACTCTACACTAAGATAATTGTGTACTGAAATCCTATTCTTAAAACATAGACAAAAGAGGTTCCAGATTTTAACCTCACAGCTTAGTAGATTCACATCTTTGACTCACAAGCTTCTCTACCTTTTGTCTAATTATTCTGATGTGTAATCATTCTGAAACAATGAGAAGCTTCAGGAACTAAATCTTATACATATGACAGTTTCAGGCACTAAGTTAACTCTTGCTTAGACCATGGAATGGCTACAAATTCAGATTAAAACAATAAAATCTTTCCCACTTGCAGCTTATTACAGTAATTCAGATGCCTTGATATTAATCTAATTAATAGATCCAGTATTGCAATGGCAATTACCAGTCTTTGCCTACCCTGATAATAGAAATTTGCTATGAGAGTTAGAAGCTGGGACATGCAGCTTTAACATCAAATCTGGTCCTCAAGGCCTATACTACTATATGTAGGCTAGCATATGGAAGCAGGTGGATATATTTCTTGTATGGGAATATGAATTAAGAAAATCCAGGCCTTCCCAAGGTAACCTCCTTACCTTATTCATAGGGACAGATATTCACTAACTTTATATCCCAGATGTAGCTTCCATTGAGCTGTTGACTACTGACATTTTTTTCTTAAAATGTCCATTTAAGGTTGGCCCAAGGATACAACAAACCTAAGAATGAAACTCAAAAAGATTATTCAGGGTCCTAAAAAAGCTTTCTCCTCAAAAGGTAAAGTCTCAGTAATCACAGTAGGCCTGGACACAATTGTTAGCAATACCATCAAATTATTGCAATAAATTAGCTTACAAATAAAATTTATCAGGCTTTCTAAAAATCACACAAAAGTGATTTATTTAAACATGTACACAGAAGATTTTTTACTTAAACATTCCTCCCTAAAAGTATTTCTCTTTCTTAAAAACAGCTTAAAACTTACCCTGATGTAAAAAGGCATTCATTAGAATCTAATGAAATAAATTAGTTAGAAACCTCCAAACTTACAGCTAGCTCTTATTCAACCTTAAAGGAAAAATAGATCCTTAAAATTGGAATTTATCAAAACTAAGTTGATGTAAATTGTCCTTAAGTATCTTAAATAAATCCCCAAAAGTACTATAACAAAATAAATTTCTAATTACCACCCTCTTCTAGTCAAAAACTGTTTGCAATGGGGAAGAGACTTAATTTTTCTAAGTGAAGCAATGCCAAAAATATACCCAATTAAATTAGCCTTATCACCAAAAGTTTACCAGGCCTTTAAAAGTTTACTCAGTATCCTTTTCTTCCTTTGCCTTCCTTTAGCTCCTAGAATATGAACTCATCCTGGTGTAAAATATATCACTAGGAATCAAGAAAATAATTACATTCGGGATAGTGAAGATGTGATAGTTCACTTGAATTCCTAGAAAAACAACACTGGCTACTTGATGTAAACCTCCAAATTAACACACACACACACACACACACACACACACACACACACACACACACA